CATGGTAGTTCTCCTATTCCTTCCTTATCCCCCTTGTTGTGCATTCGTTTCCCATTAACTCACCGATGTACAAACTTGCAGTTTTTGTGCTTACTCGATCGCTGCCTCTATCTCCACTTTACTTCTCCCCTCATATGTGTCCGGCTTCCAGGTCGTGCAGTAAAAGACCGCCGCTGGCAATTGACATGGGGGTGATCTTTATTTGCGTCACTTCCTCCCATCTGGTACTTTTACTCAATGCATTAGGACAACACTAAAGTGTCATCTCACCCAGCTACTTACCACTTATACACACACACAGTCTGTATCCAACTTATCTTGACCGCTTCCAAACCAGCTGATTAGTTTTCCTGTTCTATGGCCTTCAAACTTTTATCCACTCTGTCTCATCTTACTCGCCGATTTTTACAGTTTGATGAGGCTCAATCAAGCTGACTACATCCGTTTTTGACTCCACCTTCCATGCTTGGTTGGTAGGTGTTGTCCTTCCGATCATCCCTGTAGTCACTGCGCTATTTCGGTCCTGTTTAATGGAAACAAAAGTAGCTGTCACTGTGTATCACTTCAATAAAACCTCTTTCTTGTCGTGACTGGGCCCTAAATCGCTTCCGCTCGATGTTTTTCCCCTATCCTCTCTCCCTCTAGTTTTACTCTTGTACATTTACTCCTACCTATCTGTGAGATTAGTTCTCAGCTGGACCAGTGGCTCAGCCCACACAACAAACAAATCGCATCGCTTTGCTTCTGCACACGTGCCGGAACTAATAGAGCCTACTGAGCTGCGACTACGCTATGTACGCTTTTAACAACGGTCTCATCGTTTCCGGTGCGATGTTATTCTCTTGTCCTGAGTGCGGTATTGGCCACAATCCACTGTCCTCTGATGGTTACTTGAAACGTACCATTCCATGCTCGATTTTGTCGGAGGATGCTAAATGACCACTGATCCAAATGCGCGTAGTTTGTTCTCGCCTGATAGTTTGGCTCACTGTTCTCACTCTGTTAGCGGTGCTTGGGACTATGCGGCTGTCACCACATGCAGGTCAAGGTCAGCTTGCCAGTACCTAAGCTGCTATCAGCAATTCGAAGATGCTGCTATGCTTAAGATCAGCACCATGGTGGGCCAATTCCAATGATTCACCCAGGAGAAATAGCTTGCGAGTATCCTCATACCAGCCTTTTGAAGTGGCATGCGCCTCCAACTGGCAGGGACTGTACCTTCAGCTTCCAAGACGTGCTCCAAGTGCCTGTTTGAGACGATTTTCTCGGCCACTTCTTCCTCTGTGTGCTAATCGAGCATTCATGGCGACCTTATAGCTTTTCAGCTCATTGCATTAAACGTCATCCAAGTTTACTTTATAAAAGAGGAACACGGCACAGCAACTCTGACGCTGTGGACTGCAAATGATGTCGAAACGTGGGAACGTAGGTCCTTACCAATGATAAAGCAAATCACTAGTACACAGTTCATGTGTCATTTGTGTCGACTGGCCTGATCGCGGTACCTCTGTCCGTTACACAGCTGGCAACATTCGTGTGTTGACAGCGTGCAGCAGTACGATACTGTTCAGCTCTGCGACTAGGTCAAACCCCAGCTGTTTCACCACTAAATCAGCGTCCTAGCTGATTTTCTCCTACAGTTCAGTCATCCTACAATTGTCCGGGCACTGAAGCTTGTCGCATCTATTTATCTTGATTTAAACCCCCTCGCCTGTATCCAGAACTATTCTAACGCGATGACCATCCTTCATTCGGCCACATTTAACCCTTCATGCGCTCGAGTCACATGGAAAGAAAGATTTTTATAACCATTTACAAGGTCTTGAAACACGCAACGCATATAAATCTTAACTTGCCATTGTACCTGCGGTATTTACAAGCGGGTTGGTAGTGTGTATATGTACAGCGTAATTTGCGTATCTTACACTCTGCCGATTTGCTTCTCGTATTCCACCGTCCCATGATTTGTTTGGTCATTGGTTAATGATGGCCGTTTCTCAACCTTCCTATTATTGCAGTTACGAGCCAGTAATGTTCGCCTGTATCTGCAGAGGAACAATACATGCTTTGCGATGCATCACCTATACATTCCATATCCAGTGCGAGCCTGAGAGACTAGGTCCAGAAGGTCTAGGAATGTGGAGCGACTATTCACCTGAAACTCTCCTACCCATAAGTAAAATATTCTGCATGCTTCTACTCCGTAGCCGTGATAGCGTCCACACACCGTGTATGCAATGTTTGCGTCTCTGGGCCAGTGAAGATTTGACTACAGTGGGTGCTAGTCGCTCACCCATATCAACTTGGGGACGGCAATCGTGCGTACCACAGATGGTCGTGGCTAGTTAGTCTGGTAAAACTACTGTGTCTGAAACAGTCTCCTGAGTGCGTGCGACATTGCTATTAGCAACGGTTAGCCCTCCCTCGGAACCAATAATCAGGGTGAATGTGGCGGGTGTCTCACCAGCATCCTTTTGCGGATGGATACTAAGCATGCTACATCACGTGGCTTATAGTCTTATCAGCCGTTGGCAGTTTTTTTTTTGCTTTCTGTCAAAACCACAATAAATTTCCCTACTGCATACTTATAAACGAAGGCTACCTAACTTTGAACCAATTATGTAGAGTCCAATGGTGCGAAGCAACATGAGACTGGTGTTGGAATCTCGGTCGAGGAAAGTATTACTATATTTTGTAGGCGCTAGTCAAGAACGTAGAAGTCCGCGAGTATGTGTATCGCAACCCGGCTGACAAGCTGATAAACCTAATCCATCACCGGTTACCCGTAACCGTGTTCGCACATCGAATGCAAAGCAATCGAAACTTGTCGGTCTCCACCTCCGAATACGGCACACCCCAGTTGGTGGCGCGTACCACTTTTATACTAGTTCCACTGCAGCGTCTAAACCAATCTTACGAGGCGTCCTCACGATGGGCTGGCTGTGAATGGCCAGTCAGAGGTTTTCACTCGATGAGTATCAATCAGTATTGTGATCGAGTGGAGCTATCGTACTCTCTTGTGCTACTCACAATATTCCTCGTATGCTCCCGCTCCAGCACCGACTCGTTATCAGGCCTAGTCTACCCCAAATCTCAGCGTTGATCTGACGACGAGAACCAAGTCGCAACATTAACACCATTGGTGACCTGATACTTGAAAACAGTTTTTTTTATTAGCTTGCCCCAACCCTACTCTCCTTTTCAGACCATGATACATCTCTGAGCTATCTTAACCCATATTTCTCCCAGAGTATGGTTTATGGAAACACGCATCCCTACTTGGTTATTACTGATATTATGCATTTATTGATTTCCCAGCAACTGCGCCTTTATAGATACGGATCAAGTTGACCGCATTATCAAACACTACACGAGACATTAGACCAAAAGACGTGTTGTTTGTGGAAAAGCGTAAAGTCCAAATGGGACTTCGATTTCTTTTTTAAACTAGATTATCTACTTAACCGCATGGTCTCCCTTCCACCATTCTCATACAAAATTTAACACCTATGTGTTCCAAGTACTTGCATTCTTGGACACCCTTTTGCTTTGCACCATTAGCGTATCCCTGACTCCTCAATGTCGAAGCACTTCACCTTCAACAGATTACTGATTAGCAACTGTTACGCCATGACATTTCTGCAGTCTGCCACACGCTTTAATCCCCGTGCTCTTTTTCATTACGCTTGCAAACATACTCGTAGGTCATCCGCTGTCTTTAATTTGCATTACAGACCCACATTCACATGTATTTGCGTTTTATTTCTCCCGTTCAAGCCGTGCGTAAAGTCTAGGTCTACTCGTTTGCAGTTCTGCTACGTTTCGTACGACATACCTCGTATCGTAGATACAGGCGTTTCAAAAAACTTTCATCGAATGTAAGTATGCTGATGACGTCATTTGAGGGCGTGTTGCCCCAACCATTGAGACATCTTCGAGTCCACACAAAGTATTGGATGAACTCGTGGATTTTTCGGGTCTCTGGTCCCTTACTCCGGATCCTTTCAACTGTTGTGACTTAATGTTTTCTCCCTATCAACAGGCTACGACCCCTTGTGGTCCTCGGTGACCAGAACATACCTCCTCATCTACCATGAAGTTTCTCGGTATCTTCTTATCCCACAACTTATCCTGATCTGCACACATCTTTGAAGCTTTCCGAGATGCTTTCTGTTATCCGAACATTTATTTTAAAGTCTCTAACTGCTTATAGTCCTCATTGGTTATACTATGTCCAAGTTATTTTCCCCGGGCTTGTGCGCATACTAGCATTTATTTTCCCAATGTGGAGTGGGAAAGGAAATCCTCCCTAACAAGCATTTCGATGCGCGTATCAACCTTACATTTAGAATCCCATTTGATTCCTTTCATCCACTACATACTTTCCTCGCTATGAGGTTACCTGTTTCCTCTAAATGACCGAAATTCAGTTTTATTTCCTCATCTTATCACGTTTACTGGTTGACCTAATGAGAGAATAACGCACACATTACACGACTATGCTCGAATAAATTCGCACTGATTCTTCCTCTTCATTATCCATCTATCTTAATGCCGTGTTTGAGCATATTCGCAGTTATCATGTGAAATGCTGAAAATGTACCCATGCGAGTAACTAATGCATTTTTTCGATTTGAATTGGCTCGACTTAAGTTTGACGGACGTAGCAACCTGCGTGCGGTATATTAATGAAAAATTTGCTTCCCTTTTGGGTCGTTTTTGCCTACAGCGATTGATGACATTCTGCATGGGTTCGAACGCTACTGGCAGAAGGCGGAGATAAGCGCGTGAGAGATGTAGTGGGGAGTGGGACGGGGTGAATTCCAATATGGTCTTCTATCGATTATCCGGTTACATCCATCTCGGTAGCCTTTAGAACAAATCTTCTGTTGCACACTTGGACCATTCGCAAACCAAGCGTCTTCACTAGTGTACATGTAACGTATCTTTGTTTTAAAATGTTTAACCCATTTGCGTGGTGTTGTGTTCTTTTTGTCCAGGACTGTCCAGAGTTTCGAAAATGACTTCCACCAAGCGATCGATGGTGGTGGCGCTGAAATCGACACTAAAAATCTGTCAGGTGGTGCTTTGATCAATCGCATCTTCCATGAACGCTTTCCTTACGAATTGGCCATGGTGAGTGAAACCGCTGCGATTTTCCTCATCCACCTGTCCCGGCTGATTGGGCTGTGTATGCAACTTGACCATTTTACTCGTAATTGCTGTGTCCTAGTCACGCAAATGGGGTGCCTGTGTTGTTGTTGCGGTTTTGGTGCAGTCTGTTGTCAATAGCAATCAAGAACTTTGTTGCTTCTTTTTGTCATCATTTGCACCCCACAGACCGTGGCTGTCCACACAAAAACAAGGACGATGACTTATTGGTCTAGATACCTCTCGCTTTCTTTTGACGACTTTTGAAGTTGGCCCACGGGTGTCGAAGTCTGAAGCTGCCTTCATAAGTTTGCGTCGCCAAAAGTGGCCTTCCCTTTGTCTTAACATTCATGTATACAGGGCCACAGTAGTGGTTGTTTTTCTCTGCAGCAGCAAGATTTGTCTCCTTAGTCTGAAAATCCACTCTTGACCATCGTTGTCTGAGGGGTATTGCTGTTGTCAGAGGAAACTGGAGTGTCCGCTACGATGAGGCACAAAGATGAACACTGGGTGGAGATGATCGGATCAAAGGTCAGGACAATAAATAGGCCCATGTTGTGTTGCTTCATGTGCTGCGTATATCGACACACCACTTGCCAAAAACAGCTTGGTCTGTTTAACCGATGCTGGATGATGCAAGTTTTGAGAAGAGCTTCAGTTTCCATAACACTGTCAAAAAGACTATAATGAATAGAGAGGATTACATTGAGAAGGCTACACGTCTCTTGAATGACACAACAACCTACAGGTGCATCGACACCGATCCAACTTCGCAGCTGACAAACAAAGTAAACAAAACATTGAAGCAACTTCAGGAATTGAAGCAAATCACGAAAGAAGAGCGCGAGAGGATGAGAGCCCGCGACTCGAACATCGCGCAATTCTACGGACTCCCAAAGGTGCACAAAGATAATGTACCGTTGCGGCCTATCGTGTCTCTCCCTGGAACACCCACCTACAACCTGGCGAAAGAAATGTGGAGACGCCTCAAACATTTAACCTATGGATCGCAATATTCCATAACCAATGCCCAGCAGTTTCTGCAAAAGATCAAAGACCTGCGAGTAGATAATGATGAAACAATGATATCATTCGACGTGACTGCACTCTTCACGTCTGTCAACTTGCAGACAGCAATAGCGGTCATCACGGAACGGCTGAAGGTCAGTGAACAACAAATCGGCAAAATGACGACCGAAAATGTATGTAAACTACTCCACTTGTGTTTGTCGACCCACTTCTCATTCAATGGAAAGATTTACGAGCAATTGAAAGGCGCACCAATGGGATCACCTGTGTCAGGGCTCATCGCAGAGATGGTTATGCAGAAATTGGAGGAGGAGGTACTACCACTCATCAATCCGAAACTGTGGGTTCGGTATGTGGACGACACTTTTGTGATAATCAGACACAACCAAATAACAGTCGCACAACAGCTATTGAATAACGCCATGGAAGGGATCCAATTTACAATGGAACTGGAGAAGGAAAGGCAGCTCCCTTTCTTGGATGTATTAGTAACAAGAACTATGGAAGGCGAGCTGCAAACATCGGTCTACAGAAAAGGCACACACACAGACCAAATTCTGAACTTTAACAGCAACCACCCGAAATGCCACAAAGTAAGCTGTGTGCGGACACTGTTTCGCAGAGTGCAAACACACTGTAGTACCACAGAAGCAAAACAAAAGGAAGAAAAACACCTACTTAAATGTTTCCAACTCAACGGATACCCACGAAGCTTCATCCGAAGGTGTCTGAATCACAACAACGTCAACATACAGCCTACAACAACAACAACAGCAGCAGCGGCAACAACAAACACAACAACAACGACAACGGAGAAACGGGTTGTTCTGCCTTATATGAAGAACATATCGGAAATGGCAGCCAGACTACTCAAACAGCATCATCTCATCGTAGCACACAAACCAACTGCCACGTTGAGAAAAACCCTTTCAAAACCAAAAGAAAAACTACGGGCACATGAACAACGCAATGTGGTATACAAAATACCTTGCCGAGATTGCGAAAGGGATTATGTTGGCCAAACGGGAAGAAAATTGGTAACAAGGATACAAGAACATAAGAGAGCCTGTGTAAAGCATTATGCATCGTCGCTAGTTTCAATACATGTAGATGAAGAAGGACATAGCTTCGATTGGAGCAAAGCAGAAGTCCTGGCACGGGGTGAAACAAGAAAAGAAAGAGAATTCTTGGAAGCTTGGTTCTCAACGAAACATTCAATCAACATGCGTGTGGACATCGATTCAATATACGAACCACTACGACAGAAAGAAAGAAAGAACCTTTTGTCACGCCGTTTGAGGCAGAACAAATCGGGCGCCGACTTTAGCCTTGGGGAAAGTGGGTAGAGGTCACGAGACCTAAAATCGACACTGCCACGTCCGAAGTCACCTGCAGGTCGATCATGGAGGGAGGATTCATTTAGTAAGCTAGTACGCTACATATCACTGCACTAAGGATGCCACCTCGCATGGTGGTATAAATTAAGACGGATAAGCTCATCTACGTCAGAGATATGCAATGCACCATTCTCAAGATAATCTCCAGGCCGTTTGTCTTCACTTGGTTGAGTTCAACGGATCGAACAAAAATCACTCGATCCCGACTAGTTGGGTTTATTTCAAAAATATGCTGCTTTTGTTTGCGGATTGCTACTCTACACCATCCCTGGTTTCTGTTTTGCGTTTTCTTTCTTGAGAGAATTTTGGGTTACTTTTACAGTTGAGCACAATAATTTGGCAGCTGGAAATGAAGTCAATGACACCTGAGCTGGGTGCTACTGCGCGACCCCCTTTGTGTTTGGTCACAGCAGCTTCCAAGTCAGATAGCCTTCGACCAATCTGGAAAAACACCAGACGGCCCTTTCCTCCTTGTCAGTCGTGTGCATCCCCGGCACCATCAAGAACCGAACCTGTGACTACTAGCGGCTTGCTCCACCAGCCAGCTGCTTAGGTCACAGGGAACGGCAGCGGACCGTCCTGGCTTGTCAGCTGACTGTGATATAGCGGGACCCTTTAGCGGTCCTAGGTTCGGTTTTTGATGGAGCCAGGGATACCCACCACTCGTGAGTCCCTGTAGGACGAGACGGCCGTCTGGTACTTTTCCGATTTGATCCCAGGCTATCTGACTTGGAAGCTTCTGTGACGAACCCGCTACACTACTACATCAAGATCCCCTACTTATGCATGGACGCTAAAGGGTATGGCGTTTACTATCGTCTCCTAGTTGAACTGTCTGTTTACAACGTGTCTGCTGTTGTCGGATAAGGCCTGCAATGGCACGGAGTAGTGAAAGCCGCAAACAGACCATTTCGCCGATATCACATCTCTTCATGCTAAACAGCTTTTTGCGACCGTATGTTCTCGGCAAGGTGTAGTTGACCTGATCCCGAATGTTTGCTCAGGACATTTAGGTTCCGTACTATGCATAATCATCGCTACTTTGTGCGGTCTTATGGCAGTCCAAAGTGTTACTGTATTCTTGTGGGTGATGCTTTTGGTGGTAGCGGTGGTGGTACTGCTAGGGGGAGCGTGAATTTAAAAGCAGGGAGATCTTTAGGGAGAACAGAGACTGCTCAGTTCCTTCACTGTCACGAAAAAAGATTTGGGATGGGTCAATATCTGGCCTGTTTTAGTAAACCCCCTATCCACTCACTCATTGGCTGATCCGTAGCCTTAGGGATCACAAGCTTGCCTTGTAACCCGAGGGCGCGGATTGTGCCCTGCGTAGGGGACTGGACAACCCTCACAGTATCTTTAACCCACGCGTTACTGGTGCTCCTTGCACGGTAGCGAAGCGTCAGTACTGCTGCAACTCTTCTTTTTACTTACTCATTGACCTTAGCCAACCGATATCGTCATGGATGCCTCAGTGATTGGCCACCTGCTGCTCGCAGATGGTACCAAAATGTTGTCATGTTGCTAGTCTCCACCTGCTTCTTCTCCTGTACCATGGGCCCGTATCGGAGAGATCGGCAGACCAGTTCGCTAGGTTCACGCAGCTAAATAGGACAACCCGCGCCTCAGTACTTCACTCACAGTGCACTTCTTCTGTCTTGTCTCTAAAAATTAGATCCAAACGGACGAGGAAGAGTTGCGAAAGGAGATCAGCTACGCCATTCGCAACATTCACGGTATCCGGTGAGTACGGTTATTGGCAATTCACTTTTTTGTACGCTATGTCGTTGTTCAGTGGAATTGCATATCGAATAGCGATACTTGTACTTTCTCTATTGTGCACTGCCATATTCTCTCTTCCCGTCGCAGCACCGGTCTGTTCACTCCGGATCTGGCCTTCGAAACCATCACTCGAAAACAAATTGAGAAAATGAAGATCCCATCCGTCAAATGCGCCGATCTGGTTGTTAATCAGCTCACCGAGGTGGTTCACTGTTGCACCAGCCGTGTAAGTCGCGCTGTACCCATCGCGTCATTTATCCAGGCTTTCTCTTCGCCCCACCTCCCTAACAGCACCACTGATGCTACAGTAATTGATCCTCTCCCCTTCATACACGCGCGCCTAACCATTTCGCTCCTATGTGTGTGCTGCACCCGCCAGCTGGGCGTGGGATTATCGACCCTCTGTTCCCATCATCATTGTCTCGTTGTTGGCTAGCACGCAGTAGCAACGGTTGGGAACATTTGGTGCATTCCATTTTGCCACCGCGGTGGATGAAACGCACACGCATGGCGACTGATGAGGTCAAACAGTCTTCATTTCTCCAACTCAGGCATCTGGTTAGTTACCTCAAGTTTTGACCTCAAGTTGCTAGCCAGTCTAACAGCCGCCAACGTTTAACGCGTGGAATTCTATTCCGGTTCCTTTTTGGGACAGGGACTTGGTGACCTCGTATGATTGGATTGGATATGTTGCTCAACATCCGTTTGCAGCTCGACCACTATGCCATTTGCACCTTGTGCATCGTTTACACCTCGTTGAGCAGATATGCTCGTCCCTTTAAAACAGATTCGTCGCTTCGCCCGAATAGTGTTGAGAAACGATGTATCCCCAACGGGCTTTGTCCACCAATGTTATATCCAACTGAGCCAGTTAAGGGATATGAAGAGTTTGACAACGAAACCGCATCACATCCGTTCATGCCATCTTCCTGAGCGGATATCCCGGTTTCGTCACACTAGTCGTGGCACGCTCTTGAACTCAAGAGTATCTGTAAGCTAAGTCACACTAACATCCGAATTTTCCGTTACTTTTCTCATTCCCCCTTCGCGTCTTTCCATTCTGCTTTTGTTCACGACGCGATTGACGGTAAGCGGACTCATCGTTCTACCGCACCCAAAGCATATTGGCTAATCCGTGGCAGCTGCAAGTGCGCAACTCGCGTTACCAGTCTACTCTTTTTTCAGAGATGATTCCGGTGATGATCGGTCACGACGCGGACGAGAACGTCTGCCTGTCCATCATTGATGTGCTGGCAGGTGGCCGGAAGGCGTCTGCCTTGCAACCCTGATGTCGCTGGTTTGAGCTTGTATAGGGGACCGGGCGGCCCTCCCGTTCTCCTTAACCCACGCACGACTGGTGGTGGTTGCGTGTCAGCAAAGCATTGGTACTGCGTACCGGAGTATTGCTGATGCCTTTTCTGTCATTGGTGTGCTCCACTGGCTCGGTGGTTGCACACGACACGCCGCTCACACGATGTGTGCGAACTCTTCACGGAATACGTTCTTCAATCAGATAACTTTAAAGGTCATTTGGATCTGGAAAATTTTGTTATTAGCGGTATTGCTGAACAGACCCAATGTGTTGCAGTGCTTAGAAAGGGAACCAAGACAACTTTAGGGTTCTTTTTGAGAATCACTTTATCGAAATCGCTTGACCAGTGCTGCTGACTCAATGAACGTCCGCATCTCTTGTTGGCAATTTCCAGTTCTAAACTACTGACGGTCACAGTACAACCACTCTTTCCTCGTGTCAGTGGTATATCAGTCACTTCACCCGTACCTCTACAGTTAGACATGTTCTTTTTAATTTCTGGTACTGGTTTCAGTCTTCCCTAATCCCTGGACCCAATTGCAACGGTCTTCCGTTAAGGTTGCAGCGACCGTTGACAGTCGTTCCTACTGGCGATTGAGTCATCATCTGTGGAATGCTTAAGGCGAATGTCTGGTCCTGCGTGCACTTTTATCTGTTCTGCGGCTATTCATCTGAGACCGGTGGTTTTTTTTGGTTATTTAGTAGACCATACGAAGCATGTGCTCTCCCCGCCCGACACACGCATCGCTCGTGATGTCCTCATCTTCGCTGTGTGCAAACTGAGGCTCTTCGCTCCACTTCTTGTCAAATCAATTACCTCATCTTCATAGCCATCCTGAAGTTTGCGATGCACTTTTCAAGGTGGATGTCCCTGCTGAGTATTATCCGCTTCTATATGCTTCTTGTCGTTAGCTTCCTCGTGTCCGATTTTTTGGTAGATGGAAAATTTTCCGCGACTTCGCGAGGAAACCGAACGCATCGTGAACCAGTGGATCCGAGAACGTGAGATTCGCGCAAAGGAGCAGATCATTCTACTGGTGGACATCCAGTTATCTTACATGAACACAAATCACGAGGACTTTATCGGATTTGCCAAGTAAGTAACACGTTTTTAACGCTGAGCCTGTCTCTCCTCAACTATTCTCTTCACTTGGTGTGAGCGCACGCTGATGCATTGGACAGGGTCATTTGGCAAACCACGTCAAAGCACCCGTTTTCTCCTCCAAATGCCTTCCCATGTTTCCACCCACGAACGCTTCTAGGCCTGAGCGTGGCTGAATTTCCGGAATGCCATTGGGATTTTTTGGGTACCTTCTTGCCTTCGTTAATATTCACTTTATCTATTCAGGCTAC